TCGTGTTTTATTTTTATTTCAAATTTGGTAAGGAATTTGGATGTAATGCTTAGACAAATGTTGTTTTTTTATTTTTCTGCATAACATATGTTTCTTTTTAAAATTTCTGAGGAATTTTTTTTTTTTTTTTTTTTGTCTGCATTCGGCCCGAATGACCAAAGGCATCCCCAAGGGGTCCCGTACGTTTGGGTGTTCGGGTTTGGGCATTTGGCCCGTCCCGAACGTTGGCCGCCCTAGTCTCATAAGTATTTTCAAATTTGATACCAAATTTGATATAAAAATAAAATACAACAAATAAATAATCATAATTAAATAAATAAACAGAGAAAGAATCAAAATTAGTGCGTGATATCGCCATCTTTGATTTTTTTTATAGTAAAATGCTTCAAAATTTCAAGATATATGTGGCAAATAATACAAAATTCATTGAAAAAAATAACAAAATAATAAATTTGTTTAGACCTGGAAATAAAGTGAAAAAAAAGGAAAAACAAATAGTGAATGGGCGAGCATGTTTTGAAACGGCTATCTTTGGCGACTTGTCATTTTTGTTTGGCTCAACAAAATGCCTTTAAATTTTATAAGCATATACCTTACATTATAAAAAATTGTGAAAACAAAATAAAAAATAAATTTTAATTTTTAGGCCTCGAAATAATTGTATGCGGCGATCGAATCCCTTCAGGTTCTGACCACAACCGAGACCTCGATCGTCCAAACGTATGAAGGTCGGATCGATGGCCTCCGTACGTATAGGCCGGTAAGTAAGTTGAAAAAAAAAAAAAAAAAAAAAAAGAATCAGGGTTACCTGACCGAACGTTCGGGCGTTCGGGGTTCCGTTCGGGGGCCGAACACCTCCAGGTTTGGCCCCCGCTAAAAAAAATTCGGGGCCTAAAAATAAGGTTTTATTTCTGAATGTTTTTTTGTGAGTTCTTTATGATGTAACCTACACGCCTGTAAATTTTGAAGCCATTTTGCCAAGCCAAAAAAAACATTAAAAATCGTCAAAGATGGGGGTGTCAAAACGTGCTTGCCCACTCACTATTTTTTTTTTTTTCACTTTTAGTTTTTTGCTTTCATTTTATTTCGGGGCCTAAAAAATTTTATTCTTTTTTGAAAATTTTTTAATTAGTTTTTGATTATGTAAACTACATATATGTGTAATTTCAGGGCATTCGTCAATGCTAAAAAATAATTAAAAATCGGGAAAGATGGCGGTGTCGAAAAGGTGCTGGCACACTCACTCATTTTAATTCTCTTTTTATTTTTTTTTATTTTTATCATAGTGTTTATTTTCTCTATTTAAGTTTTAATTCACATTTGGTAAAGGATTTGGATGTAGTGCCCAGACAAATGTTGTTTAGTTTATTTTTCTCCATAACATATGTTTTATTCGGAAGTTTTTGGAATTTTATTTTTTTTTTTCTGCGTTCAGCCCGAACGCCTTCCAAAGGGGTCCCGTACGTTGGGGCGTTCGGCCCGTCCCGAATGGCGGCAACCCTGACAAGAACAATTATTAAAACCAGTTTTTTTTTGTTAACATCAGCATAATATTCATATTCAACATTTGCATATTATTTGTTTAAATTCAGTTTTAAAACCTTGTGTGACAACTAACTAGTCCACCAACACCACTGTCTGCTCCCAGAAAAGGATATCAAAGGTGCAAAGTTTATTATGTTCCCCCTCCCCCCCCCCATATGCGATAGAAGACGATTTACATCCCAAGTTTGTTTGAAACCTTTGATTATTGTAGATTATAGTAAAAAAATTCAAACGTATGGTTTTTAAAATTTTACACTTTATTTGGTTCACAATTTTCTCATAGGCTAGGCTACCAGCCGGGCCGCCTGGGTCATCTTGTTTGCTCGGGTGGCCTGGGCGTGTAAGGGCCAAAGTGGGTGTAAAAAAAAAGGTCATGGATAAAAATAAAATAAACAACTTTTGTCACAGAGCCACATCCAAAATTTTCACTAAATTGCAAATAAAAAAATCAACTGTATTATTATTATTTTTTTAGTGGCCCAGGCGGGCATATGGTCCCGGCCCGCTCTGGTAGCCTAACTCGTAGGCAAAAAAAATAGATTTGTTGTATAATTTATCGCCATCATAAATTAAAATTAAAAATCACAAACGTTAGGATGCTCAAAATTTTGTCATCGCAACCTCATAATATTTTTTTTATGAATGACCTCATATTCAATATTCATAGTTCAAAAGAACAATGACCATTCACATCAACAACTATCGGTCTAATCATTCACAACTCCTCTACTAAAATAATGTAGGTTGTTTATTCCGCAACCTTGGATCACCAATGCATCTCAAGAATTATAACGAGACTTTCTGAAAAGTTAGGAAACCCAGGACAGGGCTAGCCAAGGGGCGGATATACTTTTTCATTTTGCCCAAGGTTGGGCATTGTGCCACCCCACGACACGAGACAACTTTTTTTTCTTTTGTATCCCCTTTGGACGAGCCGTCCCGAACCTCCGAAATTTCAGGAGAGGCTCAATTGGATTCTCAACTTGGCTAGGGCCATGTACTTGTGCTTTAGGGCCGCAAACTCACCGAGCAGTTCCGAACAGCGTTAGGGTTGGACCCCACAAGCAAAACGATGAAAAATCCGACCGGCAAAAAAAAAGGGACAAATAATTTGAAAAGTTGGAAAGCAGTCTCGCGGGGACCCCACCGTGGAGGACTAAATGTGTTTGGGAAACCCTTTCGAAATCAGTTGACCCAGTCGATGTCTGTCTCCGTCAACTTTTTTTTTTTTTTTTTTTTTKTTGGTGGCACTCTTCGTCGCTATTGGCTGCTGCCTCCTGTGAAACTTTTTCGGAACTTCTCCAGGAACTACATGCCCTCCCCCGTACCCTTTAGAGCCGGCACAAAATTGTGGCGAGGAATCCTCCCATGAGACTTTTCCAGGCTGCGGACTATGTGAAAACACAGAACTATGTTTTTCCCAGCCGCAATCTTCGGTCTGTGGGTTCCCCGAAAAGGTTTTTGCGGGAGAAATTTCACCAAATTCACCTTTTCCTGGACATCAAAGTTTCATCCGTTCCATTCCTAGGGCTGCGAGTTCCACGGTCCTGTGGGGTCCAACCCTCAAGACAACGGGAAACCCTTCCCAACCACAGCCCGGGGGCGGCACGGCACTAAACTCCAGCTCGGGGCTGCGAAATGGAGTTAGGGGGCGCCACTGCCAGTAAAGTGGGCAAACGGTGAAGGCCTCCTGGTCACTGATGACGGTCGCCAGGTTCTGGGTGACGGAGTTGTGGAGACGAAGAGTCATTCTAGCACGCAGCTGTGAGCCCAACTTGCTATGCATGGGAGGATCACCGACGCCGCGACGTGTACTACAGCGGCCCGCTCTCGCCCCAGGGGTGGCTCCTCCGGCATGCCGCGCTTCGCCGTCGGTCCCACGGGAAGCGAGAGCGCGGCGGCAAACGGCTGTGCCAGACACCACGACGTTTCTTGGACGGAGCGCCGTTCCCGGTGAAGTTGATAATATACTCGCGCCAATGGTAGTCATTTCGAAGCTCGAACGAATGGTCTGTTTTTTTGTGTGTTTTTCAGGAGGCTTCCTTCGTTCTTGCCCGCCCTTGTGTTGTTCTGTGCAGAGGCAAGGGTCCTATTTGCGGAAAGCGCGCGCGGGAGAGCGAGAGATGAACAGGAATTGGAGTTGTGGGGAGCGCCATCTGAATGAGTACCGGTACACCTGGTCCGGTGAGGTTGCTGGTGTCTCAAGGCACGCCGGACACCCGGACAGACGGTAACAGTGGACTCAGAACGCGAAGAGAGGGGTGGAGCGGGTAGTGGAGCCGACGAGAAGCCGGGAATTCGCGGCGACTACTGGTGCGAAACGCTGTATCGCGCTGCGCCGGGATTGTTTGGGGCAGCAGTACGCGCAGCGGTGGAATCGGGAGGAAGGGCTTGCTGCAAGAGGGGGGCAAGGAAAGTGTGATTGTGTTGGATAGCGGTGAGCGCGCATGAGGCAAATCATCAGTGGTAGCTAGCGTGCCAGCAGACGAGATGATGGGGTGAAAAGAGGAGGTTTGTAAGCTCTCCACCTTGACGAATCCGGCCGGTGCTCGGCTGTGCTTCGTGGAAAGTTAGGGTACCGACGGAGGAGATTGCATTCTTTGCAAGGAACATGTGACAGAGTCGCGCTCACTGGTTGGCTGATTTTCTGTACGGCGAAGAGCGTGGATGGCATTTATGAATCACCGTGCCTGTGTTTCGAAAGAACTCCTGTCGGTCTTCATCCACCTCTAAATCCTCTCTCCCTTTTCGCTCCTTGAACGGCTTCCTATTCTCCGCCTGTCTATCGCGTCTTCGTTGTCGTGCTCGGTCCATAACAAGACTCTCGATGACGTAACTCCGGTGCAGGGCACAGAATCAAGCGGCGATGGAGGAACAGCTACGACTAAGTCGGCAAGAAAGATGACGGTGTGAATATTACTGGCTCGGGTTCGTCCTATGATGGGATCTTGAAGATAGATTGCAGTCCTGTTCTACCTGAGAGTGGCTGCGGGAGGAAAGGATCAGTGAAGGCAGGGGGGGGAAGGAAAGGATCAGTGAAGGCACGGGGGTGGTCGAGGTGGGTCGGGGGACGAGGGCGGCGCCCTCGCTCGTGTGTATCATACTGAGTGTACACTTTGGAAGCATTAAAAGAGTCTTATTTGGGGGGGCTGGGGGGGGGTTGTCGGTGACGACGTTATCGGTGGCGTACCCAGGTAGGACTGAGCTCGTGAGGTCGACGAGGTGGAGCCCACCGGGCCAGTGCCGTGCCCGACGCCCCCGGGCCGGCGGGGCGCGAGACGGGGCATCTGCCTGATGGCGGAGCCGCCCGAATCTGTTGCTGGCCCTGACTTTTTCTGCAGGGTTTTCACTCAGAATAATGCTTAGCGTCCTCAGACTGCAATTGCCTTCGGACGCCCCCACCGCGGGCCGTGAGATTTGCCCCAGTATCTTTGTCCGGAAACCCGACTTATCTGTCACGACTGATGACGTCCCTGAATCGAATCCAGTAGATGGATATTATCTCCGCTTCCGATGGTACGTTTTTCTCTCCGCTTTACCCGGTCATTTTTGACGTAATTGTCTGCCATTGCGTGCGTGTAGGTGTTTTTCTGTTTTTGTGCGTGGCTGTGCGTGGCTTTGCGTGTTCGTGTGCATGTGTTTATGTGTGGTGGGTGTGGGTGTGTGGGTGTGTGCGTATGTGTATGTGTGTGTGTGTGTGTGAGAGAGAGAGAGAGAGAGAGAGAGAGAGAGAGAGAGACGCCTGCCTAAAATCACATGCCTGTGCGTTTCTGTGCGTGGGTGTACGATTGTGTGTGCATGTGTGAGTGCGAAAATGTGTCTGGATGTGTGTGTGTGTGTGTGAGAGAGAGAGAGAGAGAGAGAGAAGAGAGAGAGACGTCTTTTAAGTCGCGTGTAGGTGTGTTTCTTTAAGTCGCGTGTAGGTGTGTTTCTGTGCGTCGGTTACGTGTGTGTGTGTCTGTGTGTGTGTGTGTGTGTGTGAGAGAGAGAGAGAGAGAGAGAGAGAGAGAGAGAGAGAGAGAGAGAGAGAGAGAGAGAG